CAGGAGAGCTTCACACAGATCACTGCAGCCACATTTTTCATGACAGGAAATGACCTCAGAGCATTTGAGTCCTCTGAGAAGAGCAAAATATTTTCTGAGAAGTAAATTTGGACTCATTAAAGACGTTTAAAGGCAAACAAAGTTCCTAATGAGACATGACACATCAGTGCTGCTACTTGCTAAAATTCGTCAACAAGGTGAATTTTTTTATCATGTTGCAACAGTTTGAACTCTGATTATCTGAGAATTGAGACCCTGTTTACTGACGTCATTGTGTACGATATGGGAGAGAGGTCAAAGTTTAAGACTTAGCTTCAGCGTGAGAAACAGAAAAGGCAAAACAAACAAGCGGATAAGAGCATTATCCCAGAGAGAAATGTCCTGCAGGACATCGCTTGATGCCGTGAAACCCTCAGAGGGCTTATTAACTTCACATTGTAATTTAGTAGGCTGGTTTAGCTCACAACGGCTAATGACAAAATGTTAGCAAAATTGCTATTAAAAGTGGCAGTTTGGTAATTGCCATGTGTGCCAGCTCTTCATAACACTAATGGGCTTTTCACGCTACGCTTAACTCTGTTTTAACGTGCAGATTATGTCCACTTTTAACCTGGAGTTAAGCAACATTTCACACTTGTAATGTAGAAAGAGGGTTTGCGCTGTTTTTAACCCTGGGTTATAAAGCACTGCTAAGCTAATGGGAGAGTTTCTTGAAAACTAGGTATGTTCACATGGACTAATTGTCAGAATCAATCCAATCCGATTTCAGATTTTGGAAGTTCTGCTATGAACCTTAAATGTGGCAGTTGATTGAAATTTCATGCGGCTCGAGCTCAGTTGATTGGATTGAGGTGTTTACATGAAGATATTTTAGTTCATTTAAGCCATCATTCTGATTATAAATGGATTATTTGGGTGTATGTAAATGTAGATATAGTGTAAATGCTTAGGCACCCAAAAATTAAATGAAGAAAAGTTGTTCCAAATCTGTACTTACTTACTTCTGTGGATTTCAAAAGAAGATATTTTTTTTTTAATGTAAAATGTATCAAAAATGTGTTTTTATCCATACAGTGCAATCAGTGTAGTCCAATGTTTTATTTGGATGACAAAAGTTGTTGAAATATTCTTCAAATTGTTTTTTTGTGATCCACATAAGAAAGCAAGTCATAGGTGAGTAGGTGAAAGACAGAACTTTTATTTTTGAATCATTTGATACACTAACATGGATCAAATAACCTAGCATGATGCTAACACAGGGTTGAAACGACTTTTAAATAAGTTAAATTTCAAGTGTGAAAGGTCTTTGTAAATATTTGGGCTGAAATTTCTCGAACTGCAAACATCGACTGGTGTATTAATGTGATTTAGGCTAGATCAAATCAGCAACTCATTATCTGGCTCCATGTGGCTGGTTCCTATGTTTACATTCTTTCATTTTACTTTACAAAGTCGTTAGTTTGTATTCATTATTTAAGGTGTTTTCAGGGGGCAAGACTTCAAATGTGTGCCCTATTCTCTAAAGACCGTATAGTCATTTCCCATGACTCACGTCCCCTGACACTGAAAAAATGTGCTTCCGATATTCCTCCTGCAGTTGTATCACCACATTTTACATGTCTCGCATCCGCTGGAGGTTTTGAGTGCTTTGAGAACAAGACCAACATCATGGTGTAATTATTAGTAATTACTAAGGCCAAGTAGTTTGCTAGTCTCACAGCAATAAACCGATAATTTTCCTGGTGGTCCTGTAGCTGTAGGGTTTCAGGGGTCTCTGAAGTGTGGCGGAAATTAACATGCGAGGCGTTTGTCACTGTAATTACGGACTCATTATTTTTTTCATACTCTTTCTTGCGTCCTCTATCTTTCTGACGACTTGGGGAAGATTCCATCTCCCTCAATTATTCCCATCTGGGTTCATTTTCAACACTCACGCTTCATTACCGGGGAACAGAGCGCTGGCTGTACTCTCCTCCCTCCTCCTCTCATCGCTCCTCCCTCGCTCCCTCGCTCTTTCACACCCTCCGCTGCCAGCCCGCCACCCTCGCTCACACTCACACTGATGACTGGACTGCCACACACACACACACACACACACACACACACACACACACACACACACAC